CTGACACTCCTCTCCCACCCTAAATTATTGCTGTTCTCCCGCTGTGTGTGTGCTCATCCTCACCCTCATCAACTCAGGCCTGGGGCCAGGGGTGGCCGTGGGTGGGAAGTCATGTTTTTTTTTTTTTTTTCTCTCTTTGATTTTGTTTTTCTGTCTCCCTTCCAACCTGTCCCCTTTCCCCCACCAAAAAAAAAAAAAAAGAAAAAGAAAAAGACAAACATAAATAAAATATCTGAGCGGAACTGTACCTTTGGCCCAGGCTGCCTCTGTCTGCTTTGTCCTGCCGCCTAGCCTCCCGGGTATGCCCCCAATCTGGACCCTTGGCCCCCAGTCCCATGACCTCTTCACCCCCATCTACGTTATCTTAATCCCTTTCACTCCTCAGCCTCATCCTCTCTGCCTTCATAGCTTCATTGTGCCATGACCACCACCAGCTGGGAGGTCTCAGCCCCTGTTGAGCTTCCACAGAACTTCTTGGTCCCAGAATTCCTTGATTGGTGGATTCTTTCCAGAGAGTCCTTAGGTTCTGGGTCCTTTTGCCCTCATACCCTGCTTTTTCTCCCAACCCATTCCCTATGTGGTTCCCTTCTGTCTGGGAGCTGAATTTCTCTCCTGGCATTAGGTTTTACCCTAGAGGGCTTGGGATGGGACTGCAAACCCTCCACTGTAGGGGGTGGTGAGTTTTGGGGAACCATGGAAATGGGAGTGGTTGTGGGCCTGGAGTGGGAGCTGAGTACATGAGGGGCCGGGCTGGAAGGTGGAGATCTGGTCAGGGTAGCAGCTGCTGGCCCATTGAACTTGTCAGGCCCTTTCCGGCCACTTCCTTTGCCCCTTTCCCTGACGTGACCCGAGATGGGGCTACCCCTTATCCACTTCTCTGCTCGGAGCTTATCCTCCTTCCCTCCCTCCCACCCCGAGGTGCTGAACCTGGGACTTCCTCTGTCTTTCCTTAGCTGTGTTGCTCTCTTCCATGGGTGTGTTGTGTGACTCGGTTTTCTCAGTCCCATGCACATTCTTTGCTCACTTGGCTCTGTCTCTGGGTTGTATTTACTCCCTCTTTGCATGGTCAGAGCTGCTCATGTGCACTCAGTACCCTAAAGATTTTCAGTTCCCTGTCCATGAACTCTCCTGCTGTTTCTTGTGAGTTGTCTACCCAACTTTGAACATGCTCTTGGAACCTGTCTTGTTTACCCTGTATCTCTCGCCCATTGAGAATCTTCCTGATCTCTCTCAACACAATCCCATCTCTCCATGTCTGTCTGTATACAGCTCCCCCCGCCCCCTCTGTCTAACATGTTTTCTGTTTCTCTCCCTCTCCCTGTCTCTGCTTCTGTCTCCTCTTCTCTCTCTCTCTTCTCCCCCTCTCCCTGGTTGTTCCTCCTGCTCCTCCTCTCCCTTGCCCCCATCTCCCCTTGGTCCATCCACTGCATAGTCTAAGGAGCTGCAGATCAAGAAGCAGTTCCAGGAGACGTGTAAGATCCAGACTCGGCAGTACAAGGCCCTGCGGGCACACTTGCTGGAGACCACGCCAAAAGCTCAGCACAAGAGCCTCCTTAAGCGGCTCAAGGAAGAGCAGACCCGCAAGCTGGCGATCCTAGCTGAGCAGTACGACCAGTCCATCTCAGAGATGCTCAGCTCGCAGGCGGTGAGGCCTGGGGTCCCGGGAGGGAGCATGGTGGAGGTTGGCGTCTGTATGCCTGGCTTACTTATGGAGAGTGGGAATGGGGTAGTGTGGGCAAAGATGGGGCTCTTATTCGTGGGGGAATCTTGGATACTCTCCCACTGTTAGTATTCTCTGCCATGGTTTTATTGTCTCTGAAGTATTTTCTTAAGGTCTTGACAAAGCCAGCCTGACTACCAAGAACCACCATGGAAAGTGGCTATATTTTCCTGGGCCTGAGTTAGTTTAATGTGTTAACAGAGAGCAAATCAGAATGATTGTGGCCCTCGGGCCAATTTACTTAAACTTCTGGAGGATTTTGAAGATTGATGCTCTGAGAGTGATCACACTACAACACTGGAATGGGCCAACTAAAAAATACACATAGTGTAAAAAGTCAAAGTGCCCCTATTTGTTGCCATTCTCTCACCCAATCCGACCTCTCAGAGGTAACTTGGTAATTATATTTTAGATTTTCATTCTATGTGCATTTGGAAAATTACATAAAATTTTGAGCAGAAATAGATTTGTATTATACATACTGTTCTTTTTCCACCTAATATTTCTTGGACATCTTTCCATGTCAGTACACCTGTCTCATTTTTGAAACAGCGTAAAATTTTCCATGGTATGGATGTACCATAATATATTTAACCCATCCCTTATTGGTGGACATTTAGGTTGTTTCCAGTATTTTGCTATTACAACGCTTCAGTGAACACCTTCGAGCACATGTGCAAGTATACCTGGGGGATAAATTCCTGGAAGTGTAATTGCTGTGTCACAGGGTATGACGACCTTTCATTTTGATAGATGTTGAGACTGGCTGCTTCTTGAAACCTTAGGGCCCAGGCCTACCTGGGGCAGGGGAGGAATGTGGGGATGGGAGAGGAGGCCCCTAAAATTAGTTCTTCCTGTTTGCCAGCTGCGGCTTGATGAGACCCAGGAGGCGGAATTCCAGGCTCTTCGGCAGCAGCTTCAACAGGAGCTGGAGCTGCTCAATGCCTACCAGAGCAAGATCAAGATCCGCACAGAGAGTCAGCATGAGCGGGAGCTGCGGGAGCTGGAGCAGAGGGTGGCTCTGAGGCGGGCACTGCTAGAGCAGCGGGTAAGGGGGTTCTGACGCTGGGATGCACTGGGGAGGGCAGGCTCCCCACTTCCTGCCCTGGACATGCTAACTTCTCTTCTGGGTGTCCCAGGTGGAAGAGGAGCTGCTGGCCTTGCAGACAGGGCGCTCCGAGCGAATCCGGAGTTTGCTCGAGCGGCAGGCCCGTGAGATCGAGGCTTTCGATGCTGAGAGCATGAGGCTGGGCTTCTCCAGTATGGCTCTGGGGGGCATTCCAGCCGAGGCTGCTGCCCAGGGCTATCCTGCTCCACCCCCTGCCCCTGCCTGGCCTTCCCGTCCTGTTCCCCGATCAGGGGCACATTGGAGCCATGGCCCTCCTCCTCCAGGCATGCCCCCCCCAGCCTGGCGTCAGCCCTCTCTGCTGGCTCCTCCAGGTCCCCCAAACTGGCTTGGGCCCCCCACACAGAGTGGGACACCCCGTGGTGGAGCCCTACTGCTGCTAAGAAACAGCCCTCAGCCCCTCCGGCGGGCAGCATCGGGGGGCAGTGGTAGTGATAACGTGGGCCCACCTGCCGCTGCAGTGCCTGGGCCTCTGAGCCGGAGCACCAGTGTTGCTTCCCACATCCTCAATGGTTCCTCCCACTTCTATTCCTGAAGTGTAGGGTGGATGAGCAGATGAATGGGGGCAGGGGCAGGGGTGGGTGGAGCCTGATCCTGGAGGGCTGTAAGCTTGAGGCCCACCCGAGGGTGGGGAACAGGATGTTGGCTCCAGCTCCCCTCAGACTTCCTCATCTCATGAGCTTCTTGGGCTGGCCAGTGGCCCAGGGCCAGCTTGGGCATAGATGCCTCAAGGCTGACCAGGAGCCCCTGCCTCCCCACCATGGTGCCAGGGTCTCTCTCCATCACAGCCTCGGGAAAGGAGGGAGATGTGCGTGTCAAATATTCATCTGGTCCCCTGGGGGAGGGGAAGGGTGGGTCTAGATATATTATATTCAGAGAACTATACTACCCCCTGTAATGGGGCCGTGGACTGGGGATGCCAGGCACCCCCAGACCTGGGGTGTGGCAGAGCAGGTCTGGGGTGGGGAGAACAGAAAGAAAAGGCCTTCCTAGGAAGAAGGATTAGGATGGGGTCTTGGGGTCAGGTTGCCTGGTCTCTCCATTCCCCACCCCCGTTGCTGTCTGACGTCCTGTGCCGTCTTGTCCTTTACCTTTTTTTTTTTTTTTTTAATTGAGATCAGAGCTGGGGCAGGGGAACAAGGGAAGGACCTTGGAAGGGGCTGCTCTCAGGCCTGGGGGCAGTCATGGGAGCCCCTCCCAGCTACGGGGTTGGCACAGAGCCCCACAGCAAGCTTTTAATAAACTGTTGGTTATTCTAACAGACTCTAGGACTCACCCTTTCTGTCTAAGGTGTGTATTAAGGATTCTTGGTGAGCAGTGATAGTGTTACTTGTGTTTAAAAAGAGTATTGGGCTGTGTAACTAAAAATTTCAATGATTTTAAGGACTTTGAGCATGACTGGATCCAAAACTTTAAAGGAATTCATCAGGTTTTTGGCCTCTACTTCCCTTTGCTTTGGCTTCAAACATTTTCAGAAGGTTCACCTCACACATAGGCTCCTGGCAGCTCTAAGCCTACATCTTAGCAGCAGCCTCAACAGCAAGAATGCCAGCAAAGTCCTAAAGTGACTTCACTGGCTCAGTCTGAAGCCAGAGGCCTGGGGTACTTGGATTGGTCAGGTCTACAACCTGTACCCACCCCTTTAAGGCGAAAGAATTGGCCCAGGGACTAAGTGGCTGTTTCCAGAAGGGGAGAGAAAGAAGACGTAAACACCAGCTGTCCCCAAGTTATTTCATTATGTTTTTCACATTTTTCTTAAGGCCAGTTATTCACACCCTCCTCCCAGCTAGGCATCAGGTTATAACACAGCTTAAAAGCAGGATGATGATGAGCCTTGCTGGTCAGGGTGGAAGGAAGTGGGTAGGAGCCACACTCTTCTCTGATAGAACCTGGTGGCAGACTGGATGGCAGGGGCTGGAGGCTGGGACTTCATTTGGAAAACCTGGGGGAAATGGAGCCAGACTGGGTGGGGACACTGGCCACCTTCTTCACCTTCCTGGCTCAAAGTACAGGGAGTGAGAATGGAGATGAGGTTTTTGTTGTTTGGGTTTTTAAGTAATCTACACCTCAAACTCACAACCCCTAGATCAACAGCCACATGCTCCTCCATCTGAGCCAGCCAGGCGCCCCAAGTGGGGACCAGTTTTGGCGAAGTGATTAAAACAACTCCTTTATTGAGGCTTAAAAAATAAACTCCTGCACACACCTTAAACTAATGAGAATTAGGATCCCAATAACTTGTGTCCGTGGGGGCTGCAAAGTCTTTGAAGAAAGCTGTTTCTGCTTTGCAGGCAAAGATTGGAATGGGGGCAGAGGGGTGCAAGTGCCATATCTGCCTTCTACAAGTGGAAAGCCTCTTGGAAGGGTAGGAGTTCAGTTACTCTCTCCATCACTGCTGATGATGCCACGCATATGTGACCAATCCGGGGGTGGGACAGGGGGCTGCTCATCATCTGAGCCCAAAGTCCGGCGGTATAGCTCCCCTGGGGGGTCAGCTTCTCCTAATGGGTTCCAAGCTGTGCGTCTGCGTGGCCGGCCTGGGTTGGAGGGCAGGAAAAGCGGGAGATCAGTTGTCTGAGAAAATCTAAGTCCCATCTCTTGGGGAGTCCGAGGAAATCCTCACCTGAACCGCTGATGATGTTGGTAATGTCCAAGGAGGCCACCTCAGCTGCCTCCTCCCGCCGCTCTTTCAGGGCCCGGCACTTCTCTAAGGAAGGGTTACCTGGGGCAAAAGACATTGGTGATCCTCTTTTCCCCAGCAGCCCAGGCCCTCTCCTGCAGCCCCCAGGGCATACCTGGCCTCACCCTTCATGCCCAGGGCTTCCAGCTCTGCCCGGAGGACACTGACACGCTCCTTGTGTGAGCGGCAGGGGCCCAACAACTTCTTGTAGTTGCGATAGGCACCACAGGCCCGAATGTAGCGCTTTAGCCTCGTCACAGCTGGGTGGTCCTCACCACAGCGACCAGAGCCAGCCTGGCAAGGAAAGATGGCAGCTGCAGGCCAAACCTTCAGGGTCTGAGTCAGGGTCTCCCTCTTCCCTGAAGGTGGCCTCCCACCCTATCTTTACCCTCACCTTCCTGCCTTTGGGTTCCGGACTGCCATCTGTGGAAGAGGAGAAGCTTCGGGTCCTGCCCCTTCTGGAGCTCTTCTTGGAAGACTGATTCTCTGTCTCCCGCTTAGGGCTATCCCCTACCTCACTGTCACTCACCTCCCTCTCCGAGTCACTCGCCTCACCTATACTGCCCACTTCTGCTGTCTTTCCAGTGCCTTCAGTAGTTGGTTTCACCTTTCTCCAGCTGTCTTCCTCATCCTCGCTGCTTCCACTCTGCCTTTTCCCACCCTTCCGTGGGGTCCTGTCCTTTCTCTTTCTCTGCACTAGGGACTCTTCATCTCCCCCGCTGTTATCTCCACTACTTGTCTCTGCTTTTTCCTTTTCTTCCTCTCTGTCCCTTGAGTCTCCCAGCAGTCTTGCTGCCCTGCTTTTCTGCTTACAGCTCCTCTCCCATGCTGGCTTATTCCCTCCATTGCTCCCGGCTCCAGCTTTCCAATGCTCCTCTTCCTCTCTGTTGTCTTTCTTCTTGGCTAGGGTGTCCTCCTCCTCGCTATCCTTTTCACTTTCCTGGTGGCTTTTAGTACCTTTCTTTCCCTCTGCCTTTCTTGTCCTCTGGGTAGGTTCCTTCTCACTGTCCTCACTCTCCTCCCTTGCCTGCTTCCTACTGGCTGAAGTTTTGCTTGGTGCCTGCTTATTCTTTGTCACTGGTTTCTTCCTAATCCTGCCTTTAGATTCCTCCTCCTCCTCTTCCTCGCTCTCTTCCTTGGAGACCTTACTTGTTCTGGCAGAGCCCTCTTCCTCCTCACTGCTCTCCTTCTCCACCTCTAATCCAGTCTTTGCAGTCAGGCCCCTCTGCTGTTCTTCTTTATCACTACTCTCCTCAACTGCTTTCTTTGAAGCTGGCTTTGGACTCTCCTCAGTTGGACTGACTTCTGCTGCCACCATCTCATTCTCTGCTGTGGGGCCAAAGCAGTCTGGACTGGAGGCTGCAGAACTGGGCTCTGGAATGTGGAGAGAGAAGAAGGTTGGGATGGGTTCCTCCTGTCCCTTCTCCCTTCACTTGGGATTGGTTGCCTCTGACAGATGGAGAGGGGCAACAGGAAACAGCTACCAATCAATCCGCCCCCGTGACCGATTCCTGACTCACTGGCCTCCTGCCGATCTCTAATGCCTTGGTATAATACATACACGGTAAACGCTATTTGAATGAACCAATTATGCAGAAGGCACTAACCTGACTCCGAATTGAAACGGAACCTTTTCCTCTGGGGGCCGCTGCTCGTGGTGGGAGGCCTCTTTGCCTTCTTGGCAAGATCTACCTTCTCTTCCCTGGCACCTGCTTCATCCACCTGTGCGTGCGCGAGAGGGCAAAATGTGTATCAAAGTGTCGTTCCCTAGCCCCTCCCAGATCCCTTCGCCTGGGCAACAAACCCCGCCTCCCGTGGCCCAGACTCCGTGCACACCTGCACCTTCAGCAGCTCCTTTTCCACTAGCCGCTTCAACGCCTGCTTCTCGTCGGGTTCCAGGTGGTCGCGGCCCGCGTAAGCCAAGAACCTCCGCCGCACGATGGAGTGCGTGAGCGTGCTGCGGAGACAGGTGTCAAGACGGAGTCCCCGTCCCGCCCCTGCCCTTTCCAACCCCAACTCCAGCCTCTAGTGCACCTGAGGTCCGGGCGGCCTCGGAAAAAACTACAGATGAACTCCTGCATCTCGTTCTCCCGCGCCATTTTGCTCCACCTGGAATTGGTGGCTCCCGCCTTTTTTTCTTCTCGGCCTCCGTCACAGCGTTTGACAGGAGCTTGCGCACTCGTACGGTCGTGGCGCCGTGAGGGGAGGGACCGTTGGGGGTCGGTGGCTGGTCGCTTGGACCGAGAACCTTGCCAGACAAAACTTGCTTGCCCCAGGTAATTGGAGAGTCTCGCGGCTCCTTCCTTTTCTTAGAATCAATCGTTTTTTAAAGTTCTCATTAGAAACCGACTTGTCGCCTGTAGCCTTTGGGTGTAACGTAATCAACCCGCGACACTGCTTCCGTCCGTGGTCACGGGCACTAAGTTAGGCCGCTGCGATTTCGAAAGACAGATGAAAAAGGATATCCTCGCCTGAAGACTAGGAGTCTCTGGGGGAAAGTCTTGTGGCTTGCGATTTGCTAAGCACAACCAGAATCGGTAAAGGTGCCTCCGGCGTCCGCCATCTTTATGACATCATCGCGTCGATGCGACACCATCTTCAGCGCAGCCCCTGGAAGCAAAGTTCTTTTTCCGGTGTTCCTACCAGGGCAGCCCCTGTGGTTAAGATCCTTGGGCGCGGGGTACGCCGGGAGTTGTAGTCCCGGCGGACACAGCCTTACGGAGTCTCCGGAAGTGGAGGCGTGAGAGGCCGGGCTGTGCAGGCTACGGGTAGCGGGACGCCCGACTCCTGCGGGGCACTGCTCCCGGAGCAGGTCATGAACGGGGCGGCGGACGGCGAAGTGGACTACAAGAAAAAATACCGGAACCTGAAGCGGAAGCTCAAGTTCCTCATCTACGTGAGTGTTGGGGTGGGAGGTTGTGAGGGTTGAGGCCTGGCGCTGGTAGAACCTCAGTTTACCCACGTGTAAAGGGAGCGGAGTGAGCTGTCGCCGGGTTCCCGGCCCCTTTACGGATGGCTGTTGGCTCAGCGTCCACCTTGCCTGTGATACAGGAACACGAGTGCTTCCAGGAGGAGCTGAGGAAGGCGCAGAGGAAGTTGCTGAAGGTGTCCCGGGATAAGAGGTGGGACACGGTGGGGGTGGGGCGGGAGGGCTGCATTCCTGCGGGTGTTGTGGCTCCTGTGGATCTGCATTCGGATCCCATCCTTGGAAGTGGGCCACGAATGCATGGCGCCTGGCTCGGGGCTGATATGGGGATCCAGCGGGCCAGCTAGAAGGGACAGGGTACAGGAGAACATTGCTGAGATGGGAATAAACACTCTTGTTCTCCCTGCCTCTTACCCTAGTTTCCTCCTAGACCGACTTCTGCAGTACGAGAACGTGGATGAAGATTCCTCTGGTGAGCAAGGTCATGAAAAATTGGTGGAGGATGTGGCTCCTAGCAGTTCAGCAAGCTTCCTGGGCCCTTCCTTATAGGCTTCGGAGGCTCATAACATCTCCAGTGGTTCTTAAATCTATTGCTTGTCCTTCACCTCTACCATTCTTTCCCTCAAGCATTTATTGCTTTGCACAGAGGATACAGTGGAATATTCATTCTGGCTGGGAGTAACAGGAAAGCAGAGAAACTAAGAGTTTAGATTTGAAAGGAAAATCAGGGTTGTATGGTGGTGATTGGAGTAGAACAGGGGTTGATAAACTTTTTCTGTAAATGGCCAGGTAAAAAATATTTCCGGCTTTGCCGAACTGTTGCAACTGCCCAGTTCTGCTGTCGTAGTGCAAAAGTAGCCACAGGTGATACGTTAAGTAAACAAGCTTGGGTGTGTTTCAATAAAACTTTATTTATGGATACTGAAATGTGAATTTCCTGAAATTTTCACATGTCATATGTAGTATTTTTTTCTTTGAGTCTACCCCCACCCCAAACCCTTTAAAAACGTAAAACCCATTCTTAGTTTGCAGACCATGCAAAAGCAGATAAAGGAAGCATCAGTAGAGTGCTCAAGAAAAGCCTTTCTCAGGAAGTAATGTTTGAGCTGGGACCTAAATAAGAAGCAGAAACCAGTCTTGTGAAGATACAAGTGAAAGATTACTAGGCAGGGAGAATGACAGAAGCAGATGCCCTGAGGTAAAAATGGGTCAGGTTGCCTGGAGGGCAGAAGGGCTGAAGCATGTAAAGCATGTTTCCAAACTGTGTTTTGAGCCCTGCTTATTATGTCAGACCAAGTCCCCGAATACATACATACTTACAAGACAATTTAATGAAACAATGTTAAGTCATACATAATTAGTTCTGATGGTTTTTAGACCGCTTTTTCCTTTTTTAAAAAATTTATAATGCTGGTTGCAAACCAATACATTGACTTCATGCCCCACCAATGGATCAAGACCCACAGTTTGAAAAAGTGCTAAGGTAGACATTGGTGGTCCTGTTCCAGCGTGGGTTCCTTATAACCCATGGCGCATACAAATCTTTCTCTGTGGTGCCTTTAAACACTAATGTGGAGCCAGGGTCAGCAGCCAGCCAGGATACCTGTTTTTGTAAATAATGTTTTATTGGAACACACAATGGCCATTAGTCTATGTATGATAGGGATGGTAGATGATGGATGAAGTCAGAGAAATAGGCAGGAGCCAGCTTATGTAGGTTGAGACAAATCATTTGGCATACTCTTGTTTTTCATTGCCTGCCTATTCCTTCCCTGAGGTCTTCCAGGTATCTTCCTGCTGGAGGGGGTCTTTAGGACAGGAGCCATGAGAAAAACAGCATGTTCATGGTCAGAGTGGGATAAATCTGAAGAGTGAGAGAGAGCCAGGGACGGAAGCCACCACTTGTATCCTGGAAAAGCCCACAGTCTGGTCAGGGAGACACCCACACATGACACATCTTAGCGCAGTGTGAGGAGAGCCCTGACAAGTGAGAGTTGAGTTTTAGGGAGAGCTAGCAAGTAACTGAGCCTGAGGGATTCTGGAAGACTTCTCAGAATGGTGGTGTTTAATTTGCTTCTTAAAGGATCTGAGCAGAGAAATGGGGTGGCATTTACCCCCGGTACCAGTTATTTGTTAAATGAACGATGAGCCTTCTTGGTAGAAATGCAGAACTGGGAGTTCACTGTCTTTTTAGAGGAAATAGATGGGCATGATGTGAAGGAAGAGTACAGTTTGGTTGGAAGACCGGAAAGGTGGGTTGAGGCCAGATTAAGAAGCACTCCACATGCTTGCAGGCTGTAGAGGATGTCACCAGGAAGGCTGTGATTAGCTTTACATTTAGATCATTCTGGAGTTGGAGTAGACAGTGGATGACAGGAGAAGTGAGATTGCTGAGCTGGTGATTTTGACGTGGTGATGACCTGACCTGGTGGTAGTTGGAACGAGGATAAAGATAGGAGAGAGATGAAGGTAGATGAACAGGACTCGGGATGTGGGAAGTGCAACAGAGGCAGTAGCTGAAGGTTGCTTAGGAGGCGGTCAAGGGGGGATCCCTGGGTGGCGCAGCGGTTTGGCGCCTGCCTTTGGCCCAGGGCGCGATCCTGGAGACCCGGGATCGAATCCCACGTCAGGCTCCCGGTGCATGGAGCCTGCTTCTCCATCTGCCTGTGTCTCTGCCTCTCTCTCCCTCTCTGTGTGACTATCATAAATAAATAAAAAATTAAAAAAAAAAAGCGGTCAAGGAGTCAGAGATGTGGGTTTAAGTCCCAGCTCCTCACCTTACTCTCTGGGCCTCAATGAACTCATCAGGAAAGAGAACGTGATGCCCTCACCTTCCTCCTTGGCTAGTTATGAACACAGGAGCGGTGGTGAACCAGAGCATTCCTGCAGAGCCTGGCACATAGTTAAGTGCTTGACAGACATGTTACGATGGAGGAATCCAGGCAGGAAGTCAGTTGAAAAGGATGTTTTAGGAAGCTGGTGAAGCTGTGAGCCTCCCCCAGAATAGCACATATGTGCCAACTAGGGAGTCAGAGTCCCCGGGGCCCTTCTGTAGAGTTGAGACTCTACTTCTCTGAGGTAAGTTAGAGCCCCCCACCCTCCCTCTGACCAGCCCTCCTGTCTCACAGACTCAGATGCCACTGCATCTTCAGATAACAGCGAGACAGAGGGAACACCCAAGCTGTCGGACACGCCAGCTCCCAAGAGGTGAGAAGAAGCCAACCTTCTTCTCTAGGGGTGGAGTGGGAGTGGACACCTGGCCGTCTGGCTGCCTCTGACCGTCCCCCTCTCCTATCCTTTCTCCAGGAAGAGAAGCCCTCCGCTGGGGGGTGCCCCCTCCCCCTCCAGTCTCTCCCTGCCTCCTTCAACGGGGTTTCCCCTTCAGGCATCCACGGCCCCCTCCCCGTACCTGAGCTCGGTGAGTTGCGGTCATGGGTGGGAAGTGGTAACTGAGCCACCTGGGAGTAAGGTGGGCATTGTTGGCCAGATGGGCCTCAGGGGAAGGCCAACCCAACTCTGGGGACATCTGTCTGGGTGTGGCCAGCAAGCCTCCATTGGAGGGGTGTGAGGTCGGGGCTGCCCACTTCTCTCTGGCTTAGGAATGGGGGACAGGCGCGGCTGAGGAGAGCAGAGCTCAGGACACAGTCCTGCTGCTGTCCCTTCCCCTTCTGTTCTCGGGAGCCACACTCATCACCACCTCTTGTTTTTCCATTCCTCCTCCTGTTTGCGTTTCTTCCCTCTCCCCCACCCCATCTACTCCATTTCCCATCTCCATCCCCCCACTCCTGCCTGCAGCTGGCTTCCCCCCCCTACCCCCCATTCCCTTCTGACTACCTGGCCCTGCAGCTGCCCGAGCCCAGCCCCCTGAGGCCCAAGCGGGAGAAACGGCCCCGCCTGCCCCGGAAACTCAAGGTACCCTGATTGGGGGATGTTAGGGAGGGGCCAGAACGGCAGGAGGACAGCCATGCAAGGGAGGCTCAAGACGGGCTGGGGCCTGTCCAGGAAATTCTAAGGATTGATTTGGGGCTGCTGGGGGCCCAGCCTAGGGCTAGGCACTGAGGGGTGGATCAGAGAAGTCCTAGTCCACAGGCTTGATGTGGAGAAAAATGAGGGACAGGACCAACCTTGCTTGGGACACTCAGAGTGGGGGCCACGCTCCTTGTTCCCAGGTATCCTGTGATGCCAGGCAGCCTTAGAACGGGTGGAGCTATGGGACGTGGACTCCTGTCAAGGCTGCACTAGTTAAAAACCACATGACTTTGAGCAGGTCTCTCTGACCCGCTAGGTCCAGTTCTGCGTCTGTAAATGAGCAATCAAACCATGTGTAACAAGTGTTTCTTTTGCACGTACTATGTACCAGGCACTGTTCTAGGAGATGCAGAGAGATGCAATAGTGAACAAAACACAAAAATCCCCACCTTCACAGAGCTCCCATTCTAGCAAGAGAGTGGAAAATACACAAGATAAGTAGGTGTCAATGCCTAGAAATGGGGCCAGTTAGAGAGATGGGAAGCTCCAGAGTAGATGGGGGCTGGTACTTATGGGTGGATGGTCTAGGACGTTATTTGGTCAGAGGCTTAAAAGAAATGAGAACCAACTACGTGGCTCTCTGAGCAAGTGTTTCGGGGAGAACAAGCAATGCAAAGGCCCTGCGGAAGGTGTGTATTTGCCTTGTTCAAGGACCAGGAAGGAAGCCAGCATGGTTGGAGGGAAGGGTGGGGTGGGTGGTGGGGTGAATAGATCAGAGAAATAACCAAAGGACAAGATCATGAAGAGCCTCCCCAGTGTTGTAAAGGCTGCTTGTAACCTGAAAGAAACAGGGAGCCATTGCAAAAGGTTGGGCAGAGGGGAGTCGACTCAGATTTATGGGATTCCCTGCTGTGTGAATAGACTGAGGAGGGCTGGGTCAGGATGGAAGTGGGGAGGCCTCAGGAAGCTCCTGCATGAAGCAACTAGAACTGCTGAAAAGTAGCTGGCAGATCAGTTTCGAAGATGGGAGCAGTGGGAAGACCAGCAAAGCCAGGGTTTGGGGCCCGAGCAACTGAAAAAGTGTATTAGCCTTTCTCTGAGACAGGGAGGTCTGGGAGGAGCATCTCTGCAAGGGAAGACGGAGTTTGGACATACTGAGATGCTGTCTGGAAATGCCAGTGAGACAACAGGAGAACGTGAGCCTGGGGCTCGTGGGGTGCACGTTTTGAAATCCTCAGCATGGAGGCGGGTGTGATTGTTGGGGGAGATCGTACATGGAGAAGGAATGAGCCCCAGGAGCAATGAGGACACAGAAAGCACATTGCCCTTCTAACTCTGAGTCAAAGTGGGATTGGGACTAGACAAGACAGCTTTCAAATTGGGTAGATTATAAACACAAGGCACTGCAGCCAAAAGCAAAGTAGGAGGTCACGTTTGTGGTAGTTAGGAGTGTGGGTTCTGGAGCTCAGATCCCAGCTCCCCCTCTTACTCTATATGTGACCTTGGCCCTTGAACGTGAAAAGTGGGTAGATAATGGGTGATAATGCTAGCCCTGTGCTCTCCTTGGCAGGAGTTTTGCTTTTGGCCTGTAGAGCAGGATGGTACAGAAGGCAAGGGTCAGTGAAGCCTGAGCAGATGGGTAGAGGTGTAGTGTGAGTGAGGTTTTCTGAGTTGCAGGGTCCTGACATAGAGGTGATGGGGAGCTGAGAAGTGACCATAGAGGAGAGAGAAGATTGGTTGAGAGAGGGCCCCGGATCAGCTGCTATGGTGGAGGAGGTAAATCTGAGAAGGCCTCAAAGAAGAGGTAACATTTGAGGCCAGGAGAAGTGAGATTTGGAAATTGCAGACCGAGCAAAAGTGGAAGGAACACAAGGATGTCACAGAAGTATTGTTGAGGCTGATGCAGGAGTGAGAAAGGAGGACATCAGAAAAAAACATCAGGTGAGGTGGGATCACAGAAGGCCTGGGTGCCTGGAGCCAGGATGTCCTGTATAGGGGTAGGAGTAACTGAAATTTCCGGATTAGTCTGAGGAGACAAGGGCCAGCCATGAAGACCGGAACAGGTCAGGTAAGGGCCTGGGCCCCAGTCAGACAGAGTAGGTTTGAGTCCTGGCTCTTCCATGAGCTCCCCATGTGACCTTGGGCAAGTCATTTCACCCTCTGAGCCCTGGCTTGCTTTTTCGTTCAGGGCAGGGGTGGGGCTCACTGTAGGATAACATGAGTCAAGAGAGAGGAAACACATAGCCCAGTGCCTGGTCCCTAGTAAGCTGTGGATAAACAGGAGCTGCTCTCAGTCCCAGAGGCCACTGAGGAAGACCGTGCAGAGGTGAGACGTAGGGACTAGGATGGGATGGAAAGGTGGCAGCCAGAGGAGCGGGGGGCTGTCCTCATGACACTGGGCCTCCTGTCTGTCACCAGTCCTGGGCAACTCCTGTACCCTGAGCCCTTGACCAGGAGAGACAAGCCCACTCTGACACCCCCTCCCAGGACACAGCAGGCCTGGAAGCTCCTGAAGAGGCAGAAATCAGCTATGAGGGCCGATGGAGTGAAAGCAATCCCAGGGCCACTGTAAAGGCACACAAGTGCTCCTGCCACCCCGACCTGGGGCCAGATGGGACACTGCTCCGGGGGGGCCGGGGAGGGCACCCGTGGACCTGTGCCTAGAAAGTCTCCATTTGCAAGTCTCAGGTTCCACCTCTGACCACCCCCACCCCCCCCTCAGGGCAGTCAGAATGGTCAGAGATCAGGAATGGACATCACCCAGCACATAGCAGGTGCTCACAGTTGTGCCCACAGAGCTCTCTGTGGGGAGAACTCCTGGCAGGGGGCGGGGGCCAGATGCTTGGGCAGGACAGAGGACACTCCCCAGCCTCAGAGGACACAGCAGGGCATTTGGTAAATAGAAAAGGACACTTGAGATGGAGGGACTGGCCTATTCTCAGGCATTCCTTACCGCCTGTCCCTGGAGTAGAGGAATGACGTGCTCAGGTTTGTGTTTTAGAGAGCTCACTCTGGCTGCAGTGTGGAGGAGGAACTGGCTCTGGGAGAGGCTGAAGGCAGGGAGTCCAGTTAGGAGGCTGGTACCGTGGTAGCCCAGGTGAGCTGAGAGGAGGGCCTGGCCCAGGCCAGTGGCTGCGGGGATCCCAAAGAGGGGCCCGTCCAAGGTTTAAGAGGTAGTAGCCTCACACGGCGGGGGGCAAAGACCTAGGACCCCCTCCACCTAACCAGTGAGTCCCAAAGTAGGAGGGAGATGAGGCCAGTGCTGCCAAATGGGGTCTGAGGTGCTCAGGGGCAGGCCGGCAGGCGCTGCAGGCTGCCTCTGACTGGCTCTAAGTGCTATCACAGGGGCAGCCAAGGTGCATCCCTGGAGAGGGCAGGGCCTGGCCTTCTCCTCCTGGTTCCCATAAGACTACCACCACCACCACCACCACCACCACCACCACCACCCCCACCACCCTCATCACTGCCTCCATCACTACCCCTCACCTGCAGGCACTTGCTGGGTTGAGACTCCAGGGGCTAAGGTGAGGCAGGCCCCCCCAATTCCAGCACTGGCTGGCTCAGCTGTGTCCACTCCCCCGGCATGAGCCTTTGCCCCCTACCTGCCCCCAGAACTGCCTGCAGAGGCCCCACCAGCCTTCTGGAGGTCCAGTGCCTCCCTGACAAGCCCTCCCTGTGTTTCTTCCCCCTGCTGCAGATGGCGGTGGGACCCCCCGACTGCCCTGTGGGAGGGCCGCTGACCTTCCCGGGCCGGGGTTCCGGGGCTGGGGTGGGGGCAGCCCTGGCCCCACTGCCTCCACCCAAGATGCCCCCCCCAACCATCCTGAGCGCCGTCCCTCGGCAGATGTTCAGCGACGCGGGCAGCGGGGACGATGCCCTGGATGGGGACGATGACCTGGTGATCGACATCCCGGAGTGACCCGCCCCCCTGTGGCTGAGCCCCTGCCCCTCGCCCGACGCCAGCACACACAAGCCCCCCAGCTTCCGCAGAGACGTTTATTGACGCCCAGTTGCCATGCCGCGGCCACTGACACAATCAGAAAAGGCGTAAACATGCACGAATGTCCCCTGGAAGGTGGGTCCCCACTGGGGAGGGGGGCCCTCCCATCTGGGCCCCATCCAGGGGACAGTTAGTTAAATGAGTGGCCAGGAGCATCTGCCGCCTCTCAGAGAGGCGGAGACCCCATAGTGGTCCCCCCATTCAAAAGGGCAGCTGTACAGGGCTAGGTTGGTTGGTTTTTAACGAAGATTCTGTATTAAAGGAGTGGCTCTTTTTTTTTGTTTTTGTTTTTTTTTGTCCTTCTCTCTTTTGGAAACATTCTCCTCCTCCAAACCCCTCCTAATCCGACCTCCTCCCTGTGGGCTGAGGGGGACGACGGGGCAGCCTGGAGAGGCAGGAGAGGAGCCAGCAGCCCCCTGCGGGTGTGCACAGGATGGGTGTTTGCATATTTGCATGGTAGCAGTCAGGCAGGAGGAAGTTTGCATATGTGAATATAGATCTTCACGGTCCCTCACAAGAAGACAGACCCACGGTTACGGGGACTCTCACAAAATAAGACAGGTAGTGGGGGCGGGGCATCTACCCCGTGTAAACGTGCAACACACTCGTGCGAAGGTCGGGTACTGGACCCGGCCCGAGGGGCCTGTGCAGGGCAGGTGCGGTCCCACTCAGGCTGAGGGCAGGGCCCCAGCCGCTGGGGGCAGCTCGCTGGTCAGGGTGTGCCAGCGTTCCAGGGCTGCGTCCGGCTGCTGCAGACAGTCGCTCCAGTGCTTCCGGGCCTCGCCCCGGGCCCCAGGTCCCAGGGACACGCCACCTGGGAAGGAGGAAGGGGTGGGCAAAATCGGGGCCCATCTCACTGCCAATATGCCCACCTCTCCAACCCCCTCCAACACCACCACCCACCCCCCATCCATCAGTACCACCCAGCAGGCAGGCTCCTCCCTCACCGATGAAGTCATTGGATTTTCCGATGTCATAGTCCCAGACTGTGACTTCCAGAGTCTTGGTGGCCAGAGCAGAGAGTTCCATCTCATAGAAGAAGTCCTGAGATGGAACAGCCATAGCTTCTATGAGGCCCTGCCCCCAGCACCCCTCAATTTCTGGGCCCTGCCTTGCTTACCTCATTAAATTCCGGATTGAGAGTCTTCTTCTTCACACATGTTTTGTGCTTGGATTTCTTATCCACATCAGGCCTCAAGTACCTGCGGGGGAGGGGGGGGTGGGGTAGTGGAGTGGGGCAGTTAGGGACAGATCAGGCCCCAGAGGAAGATGGCACAGAGGTCAGGCTGGGGGGAGGGGGAGGAAAGAGGGAGGATGGGCTGGGCTCACGTCTTGACGTAGGGGTCGGAGTAGCCATTGACGTCCATGGCGGCCAGGTGGGCACAGCGCACAATGCCCACCAGCAGACCCCGGCGCCGAGAGCTGTAGCTGAGACTCAGTAGGATGCGCCCACGCTCTTCCAGCAGCCCAGGCCCCTGCTCGGCCTGCTCCAGCTGTGGGGCAGACTTAGGGGTCAGCCTGCATCCTTGCCACCTCCCACCCAGATGTGGTCCCTCTGAGGTACCTCACCTCCTTCAGGTAACAGGAGATGCCCCTCAGGGCCGCTGACATGGAGGATGGTGAAGCCAACTGAGGAGGTGAAGAGAAGATTCTGGAAACCTGGTCTCCCTGGGGCTGCCCCCCCCACACACCCCACCTGCAGCACCCCACCAGCCTCACACAGACCGGGACCTGGCGCTCAAGGCAAATGTTAAAATGTTTCTTCTGTGAAGGCTTGAGGCGGCGGAGGGGTACTCGGATCTCCCCGATGAATTCATTGTGGCTCAGCTTGTCCTCATCACAGACGGAGATCCTGGCGGGGAATTATAGGGTCAGGGCCCCCTGGCATGCCTGAGCCTGCTCCCCTGTGGGAGAAAGGTCCTCCAACTGAACTTAGCACCTGAAGCCTATCCTAGCTCTGCCCCAAACACTCTACGCCTCACCTGTCTCACGGGCTGTGTGGTGGGCACCCGGCCTGGAGCTGAGGAGGAGTGAGAAGGACGCTGTGATTTGCCCTGTTCCCCTGGCCCTCCCTCTCCAGCTGTCCAGGCCATCCTGGGTCCGTCAGGACCTGCGCTGCTCCTTCAGGAGGCCCTCACAAAGCCCGAGCACCAGCACCCTCTGGAGCCTCCATTCAGAGCCTGGGGATTGGAGCCAACTGAACAATGTGCCCAGAGCACACATTGGTGGGTGTGGGTCAGATCCTGTGAGCAAGGGCTAGAAGCGCCTTGAGGAGCCTTGGCCAGTCACACGAGGATCCCACACCTCTGGCACTCCTGGCCTTGGCTGCATGCAGCAGGGAACCAGCCTGGGAGACACACAGGAGCCCAGCAAGAAAGAAATGATTTTTAGTTCTCTTCATCCCTTCCTGCAGCTCCTGGTGCTTCCATTGTGACACTCAAGCTATGTCACAGGGGAGTAATTATCTTCCACTTCTGGCACCTACTAGCTTCCTGTGTGACTTTGGCCAAGTCATCTCCCTATGCCTCAATTCCCATCCATAAAATGGAGATAGGAGTACCCACCTCCATCAACTGCCAGGATCAAGAGAAATAGATGTAAAGAGGCAGAGCCCAGCGCTGGGCACCCGTGAGTACTCAGCTACTCAGGCCTAATGCTCTCACATCAGAAAGGTGGGCCAGACTTTCTGCCTCACTACCAGCAGGGTGACCTCCAAAACACAACCCTGACGATGCCCCTGTCCCCGTGCGAGCCCTCCCCCACTTTCCCCATCGCCAAGAACACAGCTAAAGCCCTGGGTTATGGTGCCCATCACTCCAGTCTCTGGTCTCCAGTCAGGGACTACAGCCCCCACAGCTCCACCTCCTGGGATGATGGAGCACGTTTCCTTCACTCCTTAGCACTGCATGTTAGGGGGGCAAAGGCAACAGAATGGGCAGACATGTCAGGGCTCTGAGGAGGGCTCTCAGAGACCAGGGAAAGCTTCCAAGAGGAGGCACAGCCTCAAGTATTGAATGAATGGTATTTAGGCTGGCCAAGAGAGGGGGGCACTTTCCGTGGAAGAAATATAACAGGCAAAGGTCAGGCTGATTGAACCTGGTCAGTCTGAAGAAGTCAGTCCTCTGCTGGAGCAGCAGTAGGAGGAAATGTTTGGGGGGCAGGAATGCCAGGGAAACATTTTGGCTTCCTGCCAAAGGGGATGGGGAGCCAGTGATTATTCTTGAGCATCTGAGAAGGGCTTAATGGGAAGCAGATCAACCAACCAAAGAAGGTGCCAAAAAGAGCTCTCAGAGGAGGTACTGACTGGAATCCTCAGGAACAGGGAGAATGGAGCCCTCACCTGAGCACCTTGTGGGTGATATCATCATCCGTGATCCCACTGTATGTCAGGTCCTCATTCCAGACAGGATTCAGTGTGTTCCTCTGAGTCTTAGTTTTTAGCTTATTGGCCTGAGGTGTGGGGATGAAGATTCTCAATATATGTCCCCCAGACATACAGAGCCTGAGGGCAGGGGAAGGGTGGGGACAGACCCACCAGCTGGGTCAGAGGCTATTACCTTGCAGGCTCCAGGCAGCAGGTGCAGCTTGACGTAGGGGTCAGCAAGGCCATTGAAATCCATGGGCTTGAGGCCCTGCAGAGGACAGAAGGAAAGAGGGCTGCAAGCTCCCAGCCCTGCTGCCTGCCTCCCTCCCTCCCTCTGCAGAGTGGATCCTTGGGGTGTGGAGAGTCAAGAAGAGGGGTGCTGGGGGACAAGGGTCAGGGGAAGGAGGACAGGTCCAAACCGGACACCTGGAACCCACCCCCAGGGTGGGAGGCACACAGGCCCGGAGCTGGGGAGGCAGGGAGTGCCCACCTTGGCCCTGAGAATACTACAGTGCAGAGTGCAGGAGGCCTGGTCGTAGAGAAGGTCGAACTCCAGCATGCCCAGGGCGGCTGGCGAAGAGGGAAGAGATAGCGTGAGTCCTGAGTTGGTGTGTAAGGCAGGTGTGTGAGAGACCACCGGGCAGGCCGGCTGTGGAGCCTGTGGTGCTGGCAGGTGAAGGTGTGTGCCTGTCGGCAGTGGCTGTCAGCCTGCGAGCCTGTGTGCCAGTGTCTGGGTCCCTGGCTGGGCCGCAACTGGGGCTGTGTGGGTGGCTGAGTGTCTCAGCAGAAATATTGAATATTGAGCCTTTCTGAAACTGTAATCTCCGCCCCGACTGCAGCTGAGGTGGCAGTGCCCGCCTCCCCCAACACGGCGCCCAGCAGAGCCCCGGGCCCCAAAGCCCCCATTCAGCCCCGGGGCCCTCCATCCAAGCCCCCAGACTCACTGGTATCATCCGAGTCGTAACTGTCCACCTCAGCTCCGTCCTCGGGTGTGGTGGCCCCAAGGAGGGCTGCAGGCGGGGCCAGGGCCAGGGGCGCCAGCCGAGCAGGGGCCTCCCTGAGATCTCTGCCCCCGCCTTCTGGTCCCAGTGCCCGGCGGGGGAAGTAGTCAGAGATCTGCCGGATGGGCCGGATGGGTCCGGGGCACACGTTGATGGCCATGTGCTCCTGGATGTTGATGGTCATGCGGTCGCCCCTGCGGCCCCTCATGCAGCACCCCTGGCTGCGAAAAGGACGAGAGGGAGGTCCCAGAGAGCGTGAGCCCCAGGTGGATTCTTCATACCTGCCGGCTGCTGGCAGACGGCCAGGAGGCCACCTCCCCAGCTGGTGGGGCCCTCCTGCGCTTCCCTGCCCAGGTGTCAAGGGAGAAGGTGGCCTGTACCAGCCCGCAGGCAGACAGGAAGCCTGGGCCCCCCAGACCCCCGGCTTTGCTCCCCCACCCCCCCGCCGGGCTGCCAGCCCACTCCCCCTGGCAGGTCCTAGCTCCACCTCAGCCGTGCCCACATACCTTTGGATGGTCCCAGTGTCATCTTTCCGGCTCCTGGCCCTCATCCCGGGATGCCCTCCGCCCCTGGAGTCCTGCCTCCCTCGGTAGCAGCCCCACAGGCGCTGTCCATCCCTCTGCACCAGGCGCTTGTCTGGCCCAGGGGGTACGCACCCCTCTACGCTTTCCCTGCCCACTGTCCTTCATGCAGCCGCGGGATCTGCCCGCCTGCCTGACTGGCGCCCCTGCCCTGCAGCCCAACGCGGGGACCCCTGCCTCAGATGCCTCCTCCTGAGACCGGCCCTGAGACCGGCAATTCAAGACGAGCCAGAAATTGCAGCCTCCAGGGAGCTAAACACCCCGTGGGCACACAGGCTAACACGCACACTCGCCCTCACCCTCACGCCCCCGGCGGCCCAGCCCTCTGCACCTGTGTCTCTGCCTCCAACAGGTGCCCAAGCACTGGGGGGACGGCGGGGACGGGCTGGGCGGTGGCGGCCGGCGATTCCCGGGGCGGCCAGCGAGAAGAGCTCGGAGTCCGGCGGTGAGAGTCGAGAGGGAGGGAGGGTGAGCAGGAGAAAGTGCGGGGAGGAGGGGGTGAGCGAGGTGGAGGCAAGGATGCAGCCGGCGCAGGCGGCAGGGGGCGGGGAGGGGCGGCCGGAGGCTGGGGAGGGGGCGGGACTCTCCCGCCCGCGCCCGCCGGGCACACTTAGGGGCGCACGCGAGTGCGCACACAGACACGCACACACACACACACGGACACTCCCGCGCACACGCCTGCGCCCACGTGCGCACGCTCGCGCACATGCACTAACCCACCCCGGAGAACTTCGCGTGCACACACTCGCGGACACACGGGCTCCCTGCGCCACCGAGAAGCAGCGGCGAGAATTGCCCGGTGTTCCCCAACTCCCCGGAGACCCCGGGCCCCCGCCCCTGCCCCTGCCCCGGCACCGAGCCCGCGGCGCCTCCCTCCCCTGCGGGCTCCTCGCTTCCCCCCTCCCCCCGGGCCTGCGGGACCCGGACCACCCGCCTGGTTGCCATGGCGACGCTGCGCCTCCTCCCTCCTCCCCGGTCCCCCCCCGCGCCTCCTCACGCCCCTCCCCCACGGAGAGCGCTCGGGGGAGGGAATAGGTTGTTGGGCCCTCCCCTCCCCAAATCCGTAGGGGCGGGGCTTAGAGATCCGCAGTCACCCGGGGTGGGCCAGGGGACGGTATCTGATCCGCCCGCGCCCGCTGGCCTGGGACCCTGGGGGGCCCTCTCCCCGCCAAGCCGGGCTGGGGAACCTCACAGTCTGACGGAGGGGACAGGTCCGAGGCTGTGGCTTCCCCCACGCCTCTTCTCTGGGGCTGTTCAGGCCTCTCTCCTGTGGTCCAGCCCAGCCCCCAAGGGCCGGGGTCCCCTTCTCAGGGATGGCATCTCCCTTGGGAATCCACCCTTCCTCACCCCACCCCCTGCCATGTCCAATTCCATCCCTCCCGTGAGGCGTCGGGCTTCTTTCCGAGCCTTGCAGTTCGCCATTTCCCATCTGAACCCTGCCATCTGCCTGTCAAACTCCAGCCTCAGATCTTTGCTCTTCTTTGCCCCAAACCCGCCATCCCCCCTAAAACAGAGTACCTACAGTGGCCTTCAAGCCCTTAGGTCCAAGACCCTGACTCCTCCCATCCCCATCCCGTCACTCCCACCTCCGTGGCTGTTGGCAGGAAGGTTACCTACAGTCCCTAGAACAGACCTGGATCCCTGAGGCCTCTGGACCTTTGCTCATAGGACCTCCTCTGCCTGAAAGAGCTTCCCTTTCTTCAGGGTCATCCTGGGTCACCTCTTCCTAGGACCTTTCCTGGAGCATCCCCACCCCATCCCCACCCCACCCCCTTGCTTCCAGTGTGCTGCCTGCCTTAGGCTCAGTTCTACCTGCTTACATTTCTGTCTCCCCCACCACCTGGGAGTGTTATGGAGGCTGCCCCAAGCTGGGCCTAGCACTAAGTTGGCATCCCTAAGTACTGTGATTTAAAAGTAAGAGAAGTGAAAAAATAAAAAATAAAAAAAAATAAAAGTAAGAGAAGTGTGGTTGCACAGTAATGTGAATACAGTTAACACTACTGAACCGTACGTATGCTTGCAAATGGTTAAGATAGAAATATTGTTATTCGTATTTTTTAAAAGTACACATTTTTTTAAAAAAAGGTTTTATTTACTTATTCATGAGGGACACAGGGAGAGGGAGAAGCAGGCTCCATTCAGGGAGCCAGACAATCCTGGGTCTCCAGGATCACGCCCCTGCCCCCCCCACCCCCTTGGGGGCCCCGAAGGCGGTGCTAAACCACTGAGCCACCTGGGCTGCCCACAATATTTTTTTTTAAAGAGAGAGAAATGCAAAGTCAGACCACACTGAGATAGCGCTTATCACCCACCAGATGACAAAACTCAAAGCATCAGTTAACTCACAATGTGTGCAACGCTGTGGGTAAGTGGGCAGGCACCACCTCTGCGGAGGCCATTCTGATGGTGGATGCCAAGATGCCAAATACATAGACTCTTTGACCCAGAAATTCTACTTCTAGAATAGAAGGATTTCCACTTCTAGCTTATAGGCTGGCCCATGAGCAAAATAATAGAAGTTCAGAGCTCTGAAATGCAACATGTTTGCAATGACAAAAGACTGGAAATAACCTAAATGTCCACGAGTGGGGTATCAGTTCAGTGGGTTTTGACACAATTTCATGTGATGAAATAGTATGCAGCCATGAAAAAGAGAGCCCCTGGTACTTGTATGCACTTGCACAGAGCCGTCTTCCCAGTCTCAGGTTAACCTAAAAAAGTAAGATGCAGAACACTATGTGTGGAATGGGGAGAAAAGAGTTTATATGTGTTTGGTTTTTTGTGTGTAACTTATCCCTGGAAGCCTGCCCAAGAAGACATTGAGCTCTGAGGAGATTGCTATGGGGTAGAGTAGGGCAGAAATAGGAAACGCTTATTTTCCATCCTTTTGTACCTTTTGAATTTCGTACCAGGCACATATGTTGCCTATGCAAAAGAATATGTTAAAAAAATATGTTAAAATATATTTAGAGGCAACCAACAGGTGTCCTTTGGGACTGTCCAGGATAAGAAAAAAGGCAGGACAAAGGGAGACTCCATCCAGGACCAGAGCTGGTGGGTTTGGCAAGAGGCAGAGCTGGAGGAGTGGGGGCTTCGGGGGGGCAGGGGTGCTGGCCATGAATTCCTGCCTCCTCTGCTTCTGCCTTTCTCTAGGCTTCACTCAGATCCAGCAACACACCTGCAGAAAGCCTTATTGAGGGAAGGTGAGTATAAAGCTGGAGCTGGAGCCAGTTGCAGGGCAAATGGTAGACAGTGCTCAGCCCTGGCTTGTCCACAGATAGATTTTCATCCATCCATTCAGCCAATAAATATTTATTGAACACCTACTATATACTTTGGTGCAAGTCTATAACCACGATCAGTGATCTCTAGCTTCGTAGCTTTGTAGGGGAGATAGACAAATACACAGACAAGTCTAATGCAGTGAGACAGACAGGGGATGATCAGAAGGCCATGAGAGTTCCCTTCCTGGGGAAGTGTTGTCTCAGCTGAGACCCTAAAGATAAGAGAAGTTAACCATTTCCTAACTGGAAGGGGATGCAAGCTAGTCCTAAGCATAGGTGTGTGCAAAGACTGCAGTGTGCTGAGTGAGGGAGGTCATGCAAAAGCTGAGGTGGGTGGGTGGACAGGGCTGAGCAAGAGTCTTGCAGGTCAGGGTAAGAAGTTCATAATTTACCCAGGTACTACGGGAAGCCATTGGAGGGTTTTAAGTAGTGCATCTGAGTGTTCTGGTTTGTTCTCCCCGAGGGAAGAATACCAGGGGAGGTATGGGTATTGAAATAGTCAGCAATGGAGGGTGAGGGAGGCAGATGGATTTGAGATTTATGTTGGAAATTGAGCTAAGAGGTCTTGATGATGGCTTTGTCCAGAGAGAGAGAGGGAGGGGTTGAGATGACTCCTGGGTGTATGTATCCAGCAGAGCATCTCCAGAACAGTGAGACCATTTGCAGCAATGGGAAGCAGGAGCCCAGTCTGGGGTAGGAGAACCAAGGGCTCCATTTGAGATCTATTGAGTTGGAGATGGTTTTGGACATACAGAGACACGAAGCAGGAAGTTGGGTAGAGGAGTCTGGAGCTCAGAGGAAAGGACTAGGCTGGAAATATACATTTGTGAGTCACCAGCATATAGATGGTATTTAAAGCCATGAGACTGAATGAGATCACCTAGAGAGAGAGAATATAGACAGGGAAGAGAAAGTCCAAGGCTGAGCTGGCTGTAGAAGGAGGAACTCTGAAAATCACCAAGCATGGGTCCCCTGCCAAGAGGCACGGGCCTGTGCCCTCAGAATGAACAGAGGTAACCATTAGATTTGGCAAGTTAAGAGGTCATTGGTAGACTTGGCAAAAGTGGTTTCAGTAGAGTGGTGAGGACAGAGCCAGGTTGGAAGAGATTGAAGAATACATTCAAGGCAAGGGAGCAGAGACAGCAATAGATAGCCCATTAGAGGTTGTCCGTCTAAACCATCCAAGAGTTCGCTCCCCTATGACTCCTGAGGGCAGACCGGGCCCTGGTGATTTCTATCTAAGCCATAAATGGAGCCCAGCACAGAGCAGGAGCGCAATACATTTACTTAATGATTGGATGCATGAATGAATGATAAATCACTGCCTGTGTCAAAAGGGCCTTTTCTGGTGGGGAGGGCAGCTGTATGCTTTTGGGGGAGATTGAGGAAACTGCCAGATCCACTCCAATGGCTAAAGGCTCTGGACCCCTTCTCCTAGCTAAAGGAGGCAGCAGCTGCAGACAGACCTGGGGGTGGGAACCCGGGCTCTCAAGTCAAGGAGTCAGGTTGCTGGACTCTCCACTGCCCCTCACGTGTAGGTGACTTTGGGTAAGTCACTCCCTCTTTCTCAGAAGAGAGAAGTATAGGCGAAGGAAGCTCGCAGGAGGTCCCATAGATGGTAGTCTGTCTCCTTTACCCCCATTTCCTCCTTCCTGGGCTTAGTGTTCAGGAAATAGCAGCTGAGCAGGGAAGCAACCTTGCCCCGCTACTGGGGGGAGACTGGCTGGGTACCCCCCAGAAGGCAAGACAGACGAGGGGTAGGGACCCAGGGTAGGAGGGCGCTTCCATCCGAGGACAGAGGAGCTTCCAACACGCCACAGACACGTGCCCGGTTTGGGGGAAGTCAGGGAACTGGGACTGTCAGGGATGGCTGAACAGGCATCTGTGTAAGCAAACCAAGAAGACCCTGAAGTGTCCTTGGGCTTGAGTGGGGCGGGACATATCTATGACAGACAGGCTCACCTGCCAATCAGAGGGACGCTAACTCCTGGAGGCTGAGAGGGGCCCGCAGGACGGCCAGTGGCCGTTGGGAAGTGACAAATAGAGAAAAGCGCGGACTGGAAATGGGAAATGGTAAGGCCCTTGGGGGAGCCCACCCAGAAAGAGGAGCCTGCGAGGGTGCTGTGGGTGACCAAGTGACCTGCCTCGAGGTGGGCAGCGCCTTTCCCCGGACGATCCTTTCCTGCGGCACCTGCGGAAAGGAGCGGGAGGAGAGCTCGGAGCGGCTGGAGCGCTGCCCTTGAGGGCGGGCGGGCGGGCGGGCGGGTGGGGCGGGGGGACCGGCAGGCGTGGACACGGCTGCCACCTAGTGGGACAAGCCTGTTATTTCTCCTGGCGCGGGACTCCAGGGCCGTCCTCTGCAGAGCGCTGAGACCCCTGTGCCTTTGAATTTGGAGACGCAAGGCAAGGGGGAGACTCAGAGAGGAAAATGCAGAGCCCGGGGAAGTGTGCGTCACCCCCACTACTTTGCCCCTCTGTACCTTGGTTCCCTTTTCTGTATAATGAGCACAGGCTTGCTGTCTGTGTTGTAGTCCATGTGGACAGTGGAGTTGGGGGGCGGCGGTAATTGAAGGAGCTTATCCCTGCTCCTCAGCCCAGGAGAGACTACATGCTACACAAATGCAGCTCTCCTTAGTCCCTGCTAAGCCCCTCCTATTTCTAAATTTTGGGACTGCCCCAGCTACTATTTTATGATCAGCATCACCCCAAAGGATGACGGCCCTGGGGGGGTGATCCCCAGCACTTTCTCTCTCCCCTCCCTCCAGAGCTGTGCTCAGAATGGCTCCAGGTTATGACATCACAGAGCCCCCACCCCTGTGACAGGAGTGGAAGGGTCATGAGGCTGTGGCAGTGGACGAGGGCATGGGCGTGGCTGGTTGGGCTGGGGGCCATAGAAACAGGTGGGAAGCTATCCTGGGAGCAGTGGGGACAAGGAAGTCTTGGGGGTGAGGGGTTAATTGGCCTTAGGAGCTGGGAGGGCAAGCCAGGGTCTTCCTCTCCTTCCACATGTCTCTCCCACCCTCCCCATCCAGCACGGGCCTTCGTATGGAGAGCTCAGTTGATCCTTGAGAAATTCCTGGAACCAAATCAAGTCCCTCTACAGCCATACTAAGGCTGTGTGACCTGGCAGGGTCCTGGGTTGGCCTCAGCCTCTTGGGGTAGAGGGCAGACGTCTGCTGGATTCTAGACGTAGACTTTGCTTCCTTAGCACCCAGGCGGGAAAATGCCAATGTCTTGGCCCGAGGAGCAGAGTCTCTACTCTTCATAGAGAGACCTGACTTCTTTGATTACCCAGACTCAGACCAAGCCAGGATCCTGGCCGTGGCCCAGTTTATTGGGGAGAAACCTGTCATCTTTGTTAACTCAGGTATGAACCAGCTTGAGAAGGGGCCTCCTTCCTTGCCAGGGCCTGGAGAAGAGCTGCCCTTGGCCCTTTGATTGGAGATGAGTCCAGGGTCCCCATCTCCCCTTCCTTGTCTAACAGGATCCAACTCTGAGTTCTTCCATCACATCCTGGTGGGTGCTCTGGTGGTGGCCTTCCTCTTCCTCCTGTACCAGTTCTTCATACACATGTAAGGCCCCCCCTTCTCCCCTGGCCCTTCCCACCTCAGCCTTCCTTGGGAGAAGGTGAAGAACCCAAAAGCCTAGGGAGGCAGGGTATGGCCTCCCACCTCTGATCTCATATTCCATAGGACCTGCCAGAAAGGGGCCTAAGGAGTTGGACACAGGCCCTGGACTCTGCCCTGAGTGCCAAACCGACCCTCCTCTCCTGCTGATGAATAAAAGTCTACTTTTTTCTTCCCTCACTGCTTGGTACCCAGTCAGGGAGTCCTACCCCATCCTGTGGTCATCCGTGCTCTCTAGCCCCAGACCCCCACCCTGCCCAGCACCAAAGAACTGGGTGAAGAGGGCCTTGGTGGCGTTCACGCAGATCAGATCGTCTTTATTAGCGGTCTGTAAAGCACCTCCCAGGGTCCCCTGACCCCAGACTGGAGGAAGCCTTGAGAGGTCTGTAGCACCAGGGACATGCCAGGGCCTGAGGGCAAGATGTGCAGCCTAATTGGGAAGGGATGGGGCACCCCTCACCTGCCCCTGGGATTGCTCAACACTGGGAAGGTTGGGGGTAGCAGCCACCTCCCTCCCCCCACCCCCACAAATTAGTATGAATTTGGGCAAATAAATAAAATAAATAAGATTCCTCAGGCTGGCCTCCCCGAGGAGCAGTGGAGGCAGCTAGCCCCAAGCAAGGCCTGCGGGGGAGGGGGGTGAGTTAGGGTGTCCCCCTCCCTCCTGGATGGTGGGGAACCGAGAGGAGTCTGCAGCAGGGGGCTGGGATGGCCTTGGTGACAGGCCTCCCCTACATTCTCTGAGTCCCAGTCCCCTTGAGTCAGTCTCCCCATGGCCCTCTAGCCCTTCCTCTGTCCTTTGCTTCCCCAGGGCCCCAGGGTTGGTAATGGGAGAAAGGGTGCGCAGGAAGGGGTTTGCTACCTTCAGCTCAGGCACTGCTGGGGGAAGAGGCTCCCCCTCCCTGCCTGCCTTTTCACCTGATCCCTGCCCCTCTGCCCCTGAGGGGAGATGTCCCACCCCCCCTGGAGTCCATCTGTTAGGGGCTGTCAGGGCAAGAGGCCCCTGGCTCCCACCCAGTGCGTGGCAGCCCCAGAGCCCAGTCCCCAAGGGGCGGGGTGGGGCGGGTCCCTGGCCCCACCCTCAGTCCTGGGTCTGACACGGAGACCGAGGCGGGGAGCCCCGGGGCCGGAAGAGGCGACAGGCCCCACGGCAGATGAGGAAGAACCAGTAGAGCTGGGGGGCCAGGAGCAGCGCGGCGCCCAGGTTGACGTGCACCGGGATGGCGAGAGGCACCGCAAGCAGAGGCAGGCCGGCGTGCCGCCCGTAGGCCCAGTACAGGTAGGGGAAGAGCAGCACCCGGCAGCAGAGGAAGCTGATGAGCATCAGGGCCCCGTTCACCTTGTGCAGCAGAGTGTGCTGCTGCTTATACTGCAGGTGGGTGGGTGGGTGGGCGGGGAGGTCAGAGAGCAGGGGCAGCAGGGGAAGGGTTGCCCACTTCCCCTACTCAGCCCCTCCAGGCCCCACCTCCCCTAACCCAGGCCTGTAGCCCCCCCAGACCTGGCATGTTAAAGAATTCCTGCGGGTCCCTGAAAGCGCCCTCCCTTCAGGCTCAAATACCCTCAGGTACAGTCTCACCTGGATGAGGATCTTGCCAAGGCAGACGAAGGGGGTGCTGACCTCAGCCATCAGCAAACAGCCTAGAAAGAAATCTCCCTTGCCTTGACGCCACACCTGCGGAGGAGAAGGAGGAACTAGCCTGGCTTCACCCTGGACTCCCTCCCTCCCTTCTCTATCGGCCAATTTTGGAGATGCTTAACTCTGAAAGTATGAACACGTATGCACAGTAGCAAAGCCACAGGCGTGACCTCACTGTATCCCTCCAACCATCCCTCAGGTGAGACTGTATACCTTGCATTATAGATGAGGAAATTGAGGCCAAGAGACATGCAACCGCAACTCCCAGGCACCATGGCTGGCTGGGCATATCCAGTCCAGGCCAGGCTGACCCCAGACCCTCCCGCTGTTTGGGGCAGGGGTGCTTGGGCAGGGGTAGGGGTGGGGAGCCTTCTGTGGGAACTTTCCATCCTGGGCCTGCCCTGCTCCTGGGACCTGGCCGCAGGGCTTCCCAGGCTCTGGCAGTGCTGGTGTAAGCAGGACAGGGGGCCCTGGCATTCAGTACCCCAACTCACCACAGACAGCGGGAAGCATACGAGCACCATGACGGCGTGGTGGAGCACCATGAGGAACTCCTTGTGCAGATAGCCGCGCGCCACGGCCCAGGTGCTGCCCGGAGCTCGGGCCCCCCCTTCATCCCCTCCATGCCCCTTGACCTGGTGCTTGTGCCAATGACACAGGAACATGGCGTAGATGTCATAGATGAAGTAGGGCACTGCAAATTGCGTGTAGGCAGAGGAAAGCCAGTGTCTGTTGGGCAGAGAGAAAAGAGAGAAAGAGAAGAGTCAAAGAAGAAAGGAGATGGACAGAGCAGCAACTAGGTGCCAGAGTCAACCCTGGATGTGCCACAGGAGTCAGACCCCAAGTGATAATCAAAACAACCTGGTTCCTGGTTAATGGAGCTCAAGGGTAGAGTGCAAGAAACTAGCCCAAGGTCAGAGAGTCACACTGCTGGTAGGCAGGAATGCTGGGAATTAAACCCAGACTGATCTCAGAACCCAGCCATTTTTCATATTCATTCATTCATTCATTCATTCTTCATTCATTAATTTTCTCTCTCTCTCTCTCACTGCAGTATGGTGGAGGGGAAAAGACACCAAAGGACAGCCACAGATCACAGGGCAGCAACATAGTGGGAAAGCAAACTCAGGCATTATATGACAGACATCTGAGGTTAGAGCAAATAACAGCAGAAGAGGCAAGAGCAGCAGAGAGGGATCGTATGGGCTGACATCCAACTGCCATGCAGTCACTGTTCTAATATCCAAAACCTTTTACAAGCATGAACTTATTCACTCCCCACAGAAACCCTATACAAAGTAAGGATGGTTATCACCCCCATTTTACAGCTGAGGAAATTAGGCTAGGTAACTTTGCCAAGGAATAGCCAACTGCAGGAAGTCTGACTCAAAAGCCCCAGCCCTCAGTCCCGCTCTCTCTAGAAGATTGCAGACAGGTGTCACCGACAAGCCTCACTGGGGATTTGGTGGTGTCGTCGGTGTACTTGTTCTGCCTGCATGTGGCCCAACCTCTTGTTTTTTTTCAGGTACAGCCAAGCATTAAGGAGAAAACGCTGAGCAAAAGGAGCCAAGAGCAGAGAAAGTTCTGTGTACTTTGAGAGTAAACAAAAATGAAAAGTGCATGAATATGCAACATTGCATTTTTCTTCTTGACTCAGCATGTTGAGTGCTTTCTCTTAAATGCTATAGCCCTGTGGCAGGTCCGAAGTGGAGGTGCGAGGTCAGGGAGGTTGGCCCAGGGAACTGGCCCAGCTACATGGACGGATGAAAGCAAAATCAGCCAGAGTGACATAGAAAAGGAGCTGAGACCAAATATGAGGAGCTGCAGAAGGGAGAAGAGGAATGAGGGCTGGGGGTAGGTCCGCGAAGGATCAGGTGAGATGGAGACAAAATGCAAGCCCTGGGAAGAATGGCCTGCAAGGGAACAGGCAGGGATGATTTGGGGCAAAGAGAACCTGAGACCCATGCTGGAGCGTGTGACCAGGAAAGGGAGAGAGGAGGGGGAGCAGCAGCCCAGGTCTGACACACAGGGCAGGCAAGCAGGGAGAACCCTGATGGAAAGGGATCCAACTGGCCCAGGGTAAGCTGGAGCAAGAGAGGCTGGGAGAGCCAGCTGCAGGATCCGTATGGTTTGTGGGGGGGACCAGGACTGTCCTCCAGGACCCCATGCTGTAACTTGAAAGTTAAACCCATCTCCATGCTCTCAGCAGCTAGGTACTCTCAGCAGTTAGGTGCTCAGACACAGGAACAGCTGTTGTCCCTGGATTAACCCTGATCTTCCCCACCCACCTGAGGATTACAGGGGACGGAACAGGAACAGACTTGGGGGGGGGCATGTAAAAGTGGAAAGATGACCTCTGTGTGAAAAGGTGAGGGCAAGAAATGCCTGAGAATCCAGGCTCATATTAGACCCAGGAGTGAAGAAGGGGGGGGGGAGGAAGCCTAGTTACCAAATGCGTAAGAAAGAGTTAAGCACCCACTGTGTGAGAACCAGAACTGCTTTAGGCATTTGACACACACAGTTCAACTCCTCCTCAGGGCAGCCCTTCCAGGAAGCGCTGTACCTCACTCCACAGAGAAGGGAACTCATCTGTAGAGAAAGAGGAGCGCCGCCAGATCAGGGTCATCCAGACAATGTTCCTACGGCCCAACAGGCACTAGAGAAGGGGGTTAGGGCCAGAAGTTAAGCGTGGGTGTCTTCAGCACCCTGACAGGCCATTCTGCAGCAGCCCGCGGGTCACCTGGAGCCGGCCCGTCAGCACCACGGACAGGGCCCCTCTCCTTCCTCCTCCGGCCCCACCTCTTAGGCCCCGGCTTTTTTGGCAAGCGCCAGGCACTGCAGCAGCTGCCAGTGCCAAATTTTGGCCTCTTCACCCTTCCCCTCCCCCACCCCCCATGGCCCAACCGTTTGTGGCCTGTCTCTGTCATCTCTCTCCTCTGTCTCCCTCTTGTGCAAGGAGCTGAGACTGGACACGTGGATTCTGGGAGGAGCGGAGGGGTGAGCCTGGCGTGAGAAGGGAGGCACCCCCATCGGATGCTGGTTAGACAAGGGGTCTGAGGGATGCCAGGGTGGGAGGAAGTGGAGAGGAATGGGCATACGGGACCTACTATGATATGAGAAGCCAGGAAGCCTAAGAGCTGCTTTGACAATCTCTTTTGATCCCCACTCCTTTCCCCCTGGTCTGACCTTTAAGGACAGGACATGGATAAATTTATCCCTGGGTGTTGAGTTGCAGCTAATGCAGTTAACTTGCTCAGTCCCAAGCGAAGGGCTTGGGGACCACTGAAAGAGTCCTCTAGAAGACCTGGGGTACTCAGGAGTCACACACACATGCAGGCTGAGGGAACTTGGGTAAAAGTGGTCTGGTGGCACTTACTGGTCATCAATGATGTGCTTGCAGGAGGTGGAGACGATGTAGCCAGCTGTGGAGGCCATGACAGCTTGGACAGAGGACACTAGCCTGGGGGGAGAAAGAGGGAACAGAGGTAGAGCAGGGAGATGCAGTCCTCTGTTCCTCCTCTTTACTCTCCAATTACTGCCCTTCAGACTCAGTCACTTTTCAGGCCACTCTTGCCCATCTCTGCCTGAGGCGAGCTTGCCCACAGCTCGCCCTTCACCTCAGGCTCCAGGACTCGCCCCGCTGCAGCTACTACTACTATGTACACCCTACTCCTGGCTGCTGTCTTCCTTTTCTTGGCCAGTCGGGGACACAGAGTAACCCTCCTCTCAGGAGGACACCAGGGAGGTCATCTTGAGGTGAGACAATGCTGATAACAAGGTCTCTTCCCGGGGAGGGACAGCAAAGGGCCAACACTGGGTGGTGAGGGGAAGCCCTGGGCCTGTTCCGTGATGCTCAGCCATCTAGTCACCATGCCACTCCTCATTGACACCAAGTCCCCCCTTCTCCTGGCCACTTTCCTGCTCACTCTGTGTGCCCATGCCCCCCCCCAACTCTGGCCCTCGTTCCAGGTTGTACAGAGTTCTGCTGTTCATTCCTCTGTCCCTTGTACCCCCAAACATATGCCCTGAGACACAGCTCTCTGCCCCTTGCCTCACTCCCTAATATCTGGTAGAAATGTTTGAGTCCCATGCTGGTCCTGTTTTGGAGGGTGGGAGAGTGAATGGGGGAGAGGACAGGAAAGCAGTCTGGATACTAGTAGACCAGATGGCTGGGTTTGGACGAGGTCTCCTGGGACAGGGAGTAAGACAGCAAGGGGGGCAGGAGGCTTGGAGGTAACAGCCCACCAACCACTTCAGTAACCTCCAGGCCCCAGTGGGCCAAGGGGTCCAGGGGAGGACTGGGTCCCTTCCACCCCCATGATGCCTGAGAAGGGGAGCGGGCCGAGGGGAAGGGAGGCCGTTTACCTGGCTGAGACAATGACCGCGTCGGCCTCCTCCCAGCGCAGCTGGGGCAGCCGCTGGAGCGTGTTCTTGGAGAGGAGGAAGAGTCCGGGGAACACCACCCCCCCAGCCACCATTGGGGTCAGCATGGTGGCTCAGGCCTCGGGCAGGGAGGCAGGTGGCCGTGAGGGGACAGGGAGGCCGGGCTGAAGGGAGTTGGAGGTGGAGCAGGGACACCAAGCCGGGGAAGGAGAGAGAAAAAGAAAAAGGGGCACAAAAGGGACAGGGCGGGGACGGGATGGGGCAGGCGAGTCAGACCAGACGGAGGGAGAAAGGGAGTTAAATGAGACTGGGGGAAATGGGGAGAGACTGGGGAGAGGGAAGATCCGGGAAAGGGAGCGGGAGCAAGCTGGCTGGAGGGTTGGAAGCGAGACAGGAGGAGAGGACTTGATAAGAGGACAGAGAGGGAGAGGGTACCGGAGGAGGAGGATGCGGGTGGGGGAGGGGAACGAGAGGAGAGGCAGGTGGGGAGGGGGGGCTTACGTGGAGAGGCTGGGAGGACCCGAGAAGGCGGGGTGGGACTGTGGTGCCAGCCCTGAGAGGGAGGGAGAGTGGGAGGGAGGGAGGGAGGGACGGCCGGAGGGAGGGAGGGAGGGAGACAAGAGGAGCTGCCCGGCAAGTGGTCAGCGGTCAGCACTCTCCCGCCTCTTGCTGCCGCCACGGTCCCTACCGAGCTGCCCGGCCCGGAGGGAGGCTGCACGGGGCATTATCCAGAGTTCCTGCCCAGCCCCCTGCCCCCTCGGTGGGGAGGGGGAGGGGGAGGGGGAGTCACCCGCTTGGGGAGGGCGGGGGAGGGGCGGGGAATGATGGCACCGACCAGACACCAAGAAACCGGACCTGCAGCAGCGTCTCCCCATGCAGCTCTGAGCCACAGCAGCGGCTGCGACAGAGATGGGGGGGGAGCAGAGAAAAAGGGAGGGGGAGGCCCTTAAAGAGACAGCAGCTGCGGCACAGGGGGCTCCTGGGGACATGGGCCAGGAGAGGGTTGGCTCTCCTCTTGCGGAGGACCGTGGCGTTGGGCTCCCTGGCCAGCTGGGAGGGGGCTTGACCCTGTTTCCCACCAGCACGTTGCAAACAGCTACCGTTTCTTCCTCTCTCAATGCCTCCAGATACTCGTTTCTCAGCGGTCTGCTGGGGCCCCAGTTTAGGGGAGGCACTCCACCAGAGAGGAAAAAAGGAGGAGGCAGTGAGACAAAGTGGTACATCTTGCTGTCTCTGAAGGATGAGTTTAAGGACTGGGTGAGAATAAAGACACCTCAACACAGCATTCTTCAGGCTCAGAGACCCCTCACATCCTTCACTCCAATGGGAAGGAAGAAAACCCAAGGTTTAAGTCAAGTGCCTCTAGGTCCTGTCTTTGCTGAGAGTTTGTCCTGTGATCTTGTCTAATGGTTGTAATAGCACTGACATAACAGCACTTGCCCCCTTTATACAGGTCAAGAAATGGTCCTGGAGCCTAAGTGGCCCTCCCCAAGATCACTTAAGAGGAGGCAGGAACCCTTCCATGCTGGGTATCAGAGTGGTTGCAGGCTTTGAAGAGGGTGGGGAAACCTTGCCTCCGTGAAAACCCACCTGGAACTCGAGGATGCTCCTGCCTCTGTCCTTCAGGGTGCCTGGCCTCTCCTGGCTTCCCCTAAGCACGGATCACTTTCTCTTTCTTCAGGTTTATTATCTTCCTGGCTCCCCATCCTCAGGGACTTCAAAGAGCAGCAGGACCCCAGGGACCAGCTGGTCTAGACCCTTCATTTCATCCACAAGGAAACTGAGGCGCAGTGACTGGCCAGGGTCACACTGCATGTTGGAGGTGCAGCTGAAACCCCACTGGCCTCTGAGCTGCTTCTCACCCTTTTGTGTTGCCTTCCTGAAATTTGGCCCTCCTGTCCTGAACCCAACTGTCCTATGGACTTCTACATGATGTGAGTCCTGGGCCCAAACCGTACTTTGGTTTCCAGGCCCACCCTAAGGTACACCTCAATAAGCAACCCTACAATTTATCTTTACCGATCCAAAGACCATTCCATTTCCTCCCCAAAAGAGGCAAAGGGCTGGATTTTGCAATTTTGTGCTGCCCTCTAGTGGCATGCGGAAGGAACAGACTCTGAGAGGTCTCTGGCCTTTACAGGAGTTAAGGACCTCCCTTCTTGACCTCAGGGCTTCATTTAGGGGAGAAAAGGACCCAACTTCTTTTTTATTTTTAAGATTTTATTTATTCATGAAAGACACACACACACAGAGAGGCAGAGACACAGACAGAGGGAGAAGCAAGCTCCCTGCAGGGAGCCCAATGAGGGACTCCAGGATTATGCCTTGGGCAGAAGGCAGATGCTAAACCCCTGAGCCACCCAGAGATTCCCAGGACCCAACTTCTTGAGTGTTTTCTAGGTGCTGGGCATTAGGCAAGATGGTGTATGTTCATTCTTATTTAATCTTCCCAGATGGTAATATCTGTTTTATAGACAAGAAATGGGTTTAAAGATTTAAGAAAAGAAGAAGAAGAAGAAGAAGAAGAAGAAGAAGAAGAAGAAGAAGAAGAAGAAGAAGAAGAAGAAGAAGAAGAAGAAGACAAAAAACTTGCCCAAGATAACACAGCTATGAGAACTGGCAAAACTGGAGTGCTCCAAAGCCAAAGAGCAAAGCCGAGTTTGGGGGGGATGGGGCATGGGTTATGGGAGGGCACCATCACTACTTGATTGAGGGCAACAAACCTGGTGGCCATGTGGCTTCTCTCTGGATGACATGAATTTCATCAAGCAAAGACATATTTCTGTCTTCCAGTAATCCACCTAGACACCCAAGTAAATTCTGCCTTCGGTCAGCTTCCTCTCCTACCCACGTTTCCATGAGACCTCACATGTGGGTTAGGCTGTGTCGAACAGGTCAGAGATTTGCAGCATCAGGGCCAAATCCAGCCTACAAACATGCTTTGCGCAGCCAGTATGGTGTTGCCTGTACGGTACTTTCTTAAATTCTCAGTTGTGCTTGAAAATTAGGAGATTTCACATCAGAGCTCAACTTCTTTTAAGAAAGAATCATATGAGGGATCCCTGGGTGGCTCAGCGGTTTAGCACCTGCCTTCGGCCCAGGGAGTGATCCTGGAGACCCAGGATGGAGTCCCGCATTGGGCTCCCTGCAGGGAGCCTGTTTCTCCCTCTGCCTCTGTCTTTGCCTCTCCCTCTCTCTGTGTCTTTCATGATTAAATAAATAAAATCTTAAAAAAAAAAAAAAAAAAAAGGGGATCCCTGGGTGGCTCAGCAGTTTAGCGCCGCCTTCAGTCCAGGGTGTGATCCTGGAGACCCGGAATCGAGTCCCATGTCAGGCTCCCTACCATGGAGCCTGCTTCCTCCTCTGCCTGTGTTTCTCTCTCTCTCTCTCTCTCTCTCTCTCTCTCTCTCTCTCATAAATTTTTTTTAAAAATAAAGAATCAGATAGACAACACAAAGCCCACATTCTACCTCCGTACGTTTGACTGGAGCCGAACTTCTGCTGCCCCATCTGATGGGCTGAATGTTGAGTTTTCTGGCTCACCATTTATCCCCGCAAAGCCTATAGCCTTGTCCCTTGCAGGAGTCTCCCACACCTACTTCACAGACATGAATTCACCTGATCCTCACAAAACATCTCGATGAAGACTGGAAGGTAGGTGTTCTTAGTAAACCCATTCGCAAGTGGAGGGGCTCTGAAGTTCAGGGAGATTAAAGACTTGCAAAAGATCTCATAGCCAGTTTCTTTTGACTCTTAATCTCCCCCTGGCACACGCATATGTGTGTACACATGGGCATGCTCTCTCTCTGTTTCTGCTCTCACCACTATTCCTGAAAGCAAGAGATCGTCTCCACCAGCCCTGACCCCAGAAAGGACACCCTCATCCTGGCCTCTTACTTGGATGCCACCAAAACAGCCTCTGGTCTGTCCATCCGCAGGTTGGAGTGGTTCTGCAGGCCCCAGCAGAGGATAGCAAAACTCAGCGGAAAGAAAATGCAGCCCAGTACAAAGAGCAGGGTCATGCCTGTCTGAGGTAGAGAAGGTGAGAAAAGATAAGAATGTGAGAACGCACAGTGCCCCTCAGACCTGGACACTCCCTTTACCCCCATAACTCTGTGGCGCATGGGATCCATCCATCTCTAAACCACCAGGCATTGGTCTTCCCTAATCTCTTTGGAATCTTTTTTTTTTTTTAAGATTTTATTTGCTTGAGAGAGAGCAAGAGAGCAAGCATGAACAGGGAAGGGGCAGAGGGAGAGGAGAAACAGAGTCCCACCGAGCCCGAAGCCCAAGATGGGGCTCAATCCCAGGACCCCAGGCCTGGAGATTATGACCTAAACCCAAGGTAGACACTTAAATGACTGAGCCACCCAGGCACCTCCCTTTGGTATCTTTGTTGCACTTTAAATATCCCTCATCCAGGACAGCTGGACATCTGATTTTTTTTTATCAACCCATTCCAACAATTCCATTCATTCTCCCTGTAATTCTTGGAGTTGGTCTCCACCTTCCAGTCCATCTCACACCTTAAAATTCCTTCTCTTCATCCTTCAACCCTAAAGATGTACCTGCTCCTTATTAACTCCACCCCAGCCCATCCTCTGCCTGCCCCCAAGCTATTCCAGTCACCTTTCCCTTCTCCTAGGTTCTCACCTCTGAGGGGCAAGGTGGAGGCTGCAGAGGAAGGCTGGTGATTCTCATCGGCACCCAGAACTCAGAAAAAGGAAAGTGGGTGTTCAAATTGTAAAGATATTTGAAAATTTAAAATAATACTTTTTTTAAAAGAAAAAGAAAAATCAAGGCATTATCCATTAGTAAAGGTGGGGGGGGAGAGAAACAATAGAACTCCTGAAAACATACATATTTACATATAGGTCATTTTTGTCTGGAAAAGCCTCCCCTCCCATCCAGTCCAGGGAGGGGAGGGGTGCAGAAGGCCCGGGGGGATGCAGGGGGTTGGGGCCCGCCATCCTGCATCTCTTAGGCAGCTCTGAGGGGACCTTCTTTTAGGACACAAGGGAGGTGTCAAACTGCAAGGGCACGAGGCTGGGACAGGGCAGCAGAGGCAGTTGAAGGGGGCGGGAACACCATGCTCCCATTGGTGGACAGGTGGACGGTTTAGAACATGCTCTCCCCCATTGGTTCACCTCCTGACACATGTGCCCAATCATATGCTTCCTGCCAGAGGCGCCCATCTGGCTGTGGACGGGCTTCTCACGCAGAACTGACCAATTAGAACTCGTCAATGGCTTGATAGAGAGCTTCATTTCCGGCAGAGCTGAGAGAGGAGTAAGGAAAAGGAGCAGCAGAAGAACACCCGAAGGAGTCGTGGCTTTAAAAGGCAGAACAGTATAGGATAATAGTTAAGATGGCAACTTCTAGGGTGGGACCATCTGGCTTCAAATTCAGACTCTGTGGATAATAAAAGAAACTGTATGGCTCCATTTGGGCAAAGTTCAAAATAGGT